ATCTCTCTCCCTTTCTCCTCACCTTGATCCATTCGCGGATAGCGAGGAGCGAAGGCTGGAGCGGTGATAGCGGGCGGAGGGGAGGACTGAACAAGGGCCTCCGCTACGAGCGCGGGAAGCGCAAGCGCTGCGAGGTGGAGGAGGCCGCAGACTCCATGGACCTTGACACCGACGCCGACGCGTCCCAGCCATCAAGCTCAGCATGTTGCCTTCCCTGTTCGACCCCTCCAAGGCGGCCTCCTTCAAGCAGCCCACCTACGACGGTGCCATCGTCGGGTGCGTCCCATGGTGGCACTGGAAGAAGGTCCGCCACTCACCACGCCTCCCCACTAGCAATGTCCCGAAAGCCGACCCCATTAGAGCAACGCGTCCACGACAAGTCCCTGAAGTTACAAGCCCATAGGCCCATTATAGGTGACGCAGCACCTTGTTCTATGATTGCGGCCAATAAAGATGGAGTTTAGAGATGAGGCTAGATCCGTTAGAAAGAGGACTCCGAGAGCTTACCATCAAATACTCATGGACCCAAAACGGAGCTCGTATACATATTTGGCGGACATTTGAAATCAGCAATGTAATAGGTGTTCGAATATGATTCCAGCACTTAGGCATCTTGATCTTGATGTGAGCAACGGTTGTATCAATGGTAGCCATGGCACATCACTTATGAGGGTAGGTAGTGTCTATTCTATCCTGGGCTCCCTAACGGGCTTTTTATGGGCTCTCAAGTGGCATGGTGGTGAACGTGTCTAGGCCTCTGGTGATGGGTTCACCCAAGGCGAAGGCCTTGGTCTTCGGCTGGCGCTTCGCCCAAGTAAATTGTTAATATTTCTTAACGTCACAGATAGAATCCGCAAACGTATGGATATACCGATGTAGCACTTCCCCTACAGAGTATTTCAAGGGTATCGAATCCAAGGGAACGTGTGTGATTATGGCATCGTCTGGTTCATCCAAGGACACAAAGCTAATGTGCGCAGAGGGCAAAGAGGATTTCCTAATGAGAAACAGTGTCTAGGGAAAGCTTAACTTTAATCCTACCCGCTGTTCTCAGATGTCGCTCTACTACATACCCGGACAGGGAGGACTTAAGTGCTCTCGAGGGCTATCACCACCTCTACACCCACCTCAAACGTATTGTGGGATAGGCAGCAACCACTGGAGATTAATTACCCAGACACCGTGTCTACGCAATTAATAACTACTCTAGTGCCGATTACTAAAGCAATCACTATAAATAAATGGACTATAGTGAACAATGATCCCGTATGCTAATTAGGAACTAATCAAGAAGTAATTCTCACTAAGCAAATCTTAATTACTCAGAATGATATTCTATTAAAGCAGAATAATTAACAAGATACAAAAGTAAGAGGAGATTACCGACAACTCCGGGATTCCTCCAATTCCTTCTACTTTACTCTCTCCCTATTCTAATATACAATAAAGTACACTAGAGCCTCTTGTAATTTAGCTCATGCTTTGGTGTGTTGCGAATGAGGGAGAGAGGGGTATTTATAGGTGGAGAGATGCCTTGGGAATGTGGAGATGCTAAGCATCTAAATGGCATCTTCACTCTCCTCTTGCCATGTGTTCAGCTGATGACGAATATTCAGGTAAAGTCGGTAGAAACCGTCATAGCAAGTTGCTAACTCCCGGCCTGTGAAATTTGGGACCGAACGGCGCAGCTACGGGATCGGCCGAACCACTTGGTTCGGCCAAACCTTTGCTGGCCCGTTTTGCTCCGAATTTTCTCGTGGGCTCTGGTGGAGAACCCCTCAGCCCAAATGTACTTGCAATTTGCCCATTTGAATGTGTTTCATTAGGTTTGTAGGTCCAAAACTCCATAGGCTTGAATATGGAAGTTTAATTCACCTCCTTCTCTATGTATCTTTTGTCTCAACTTTGGTGGTTCGTCACTTATATCCATATATACACCAACACTCGTGGAAATGGTTAGAAATAAACCCTACCACTACATTGGATGTTTTACTTTTATGGTTTTATACAGGTATTGACGGCGTTAAATTGGTACTTAACCGCCGTCAACATCCATCAGGTTTTGGCAGCCTCAGTTGAAGGTACTCATGACATGCCTCCAACACCAATTTCACGGACAATCACTTAATTTATCGGGGAAATGGGGTACCCTGGTTCCCTTTTCACCCACAACGTGTATCTTCACCATGTTACATATTTTTTTTAAATGCTTTAGTTGCCGATTTTTTTTTGTTAACCTTATATAACTTGATGTTTCACTTGTTGGCCAACTGGAGCATTTAACCGACCGATTTTTGTAGGGGCATGGGGTGCCCAATGGAAAGATTCTTCCATAAAACATTTGTTATTTTTTCAAAAAAGATTACAAATATAAAATTATTAAAGTGTATGCAACTAATAAAATGCATGTGTAGCCAGATGGTTGCAGCGCGAGAGTTGTCCCTGTAGGTTAGGGGTCCAACTCCACAACCCGCGCCTACTTATGAAAAAGAAATTTCCCACCCATGCATGAATATCAAGACGATCCGATATTAAGTAATTTAAAAGGGTTTTGGAGAAAAAAAATTGTCGGAAATGTTTTCAAGCAATCCCGTTTGGTAACGCAAAATCTAATTCGCGCGTGCACGCCAGCAATGTTGCTGGCGCGCGCGCCAGCTGGTGGCTCCTCCCCACACCTTTTTTTTTTTTGTTGTTTTGGCGATTTTTTAGCTTTTTTCTGATTACTTTTTTTTAATCTTTAGCACACGTGTTTTTTTTCAAAATGTTCTGAGTTGAAATTTTTTTAAATCTTGACTTGAAAATTTTCAAATCTTAACTTAAAAATTTTCAAATCTAGAGTTAAAAAGTTTTCAAATCCAAGTTGAAAGTTTTCAAATCTAGAGTTAAAAAGTTTTCAAATCCAAGTTGAAAGTTTTCTAATCTCGAGTTGAAAGTTTTTAAATTTGAGTTAAAATTTTCAAATGTTGAGTTGAAAGTTTTTATATATGGGTTGAAAGTTTTCAAGGTTGAGTTGAAAGTTTTTCAATGTTGAGATGAAAAGTTGAAAGTTTTTAAAATTTGACTTAAAAAATAAATTTCGAGTTGAAAGTTTTCAAATATGGGTTTAAAATTTTGAAAATTTGACTTAAGATATAGATTTCTTTTCAATATATTAGTTAAAAAAATCTCACGGAAAAAAAAATTCTAACTACTACCGTCATTATTTCGAACTGTAATCTACTACTACTTAAAAAATAAGAGGTGCTTCCATCGTCCGTCAAAAAAACCGGGTGAAAAAAAACCGGAACGAATCCGATTCATCAACGCGGTAAAAGAAAAATCGGGAAAAAAAAAGAATATGTCCGATTCCACAAAAATAGGAAACAAACTCCCATCTGTTTTCGTTTGAGCTGATTAGGACTTTGTTTCTGTTTGGGCGAATAGGACTTGGTTTGAATTATACCAAGTCCTATTCGGTTAGCATCACCAGGAGAACCGACACCATTCACAGAGAAAGAGAGAAAGAGACGACGCCGCCACCTCTCCCGCCCCCGTCGGACCGCAGCCGCCTCCATGCCGCCGAATCTGGCGGAGGCGAGGTCCGGCCCGCCGCCCCTCCCAACCCCCGCCGGGCTGCAGCTGCCTCCACACCGCCGGATCTGGCGGAGGCGAGGCCCGACCGGCGTTCCATGACGTCCGCCACCACCACCACTGCCGCACCTCCCCACCATGCACAGAGAGAGAGAGAGAAAGAGACGACGCCGCCGCCTCTCCTGCCCTCGCCGGACCATAGCCGCTTCCATGCCGCCAGATCTGGCGGAGGCGAGGTCCGGCCCGCCGCCCCTCCCGCTCCCGCCGGGCCGCAGCCGCCTCCACGCCGCCGTTGTTCGGGGAGAGGGCGCCGCGCCGTTGGTTGTGGGGGAGGGCGCCGCCGCCGCCGCTCGCGGGAAGAGGGGCGCCGTCGCCGCCGCTCGGGGGCGCGGAGGGGAGGGCGGCGATGTGAGATGGGAGGGAGGGAAATGGGCTAGGGTTTCGGCGGCTGAGGAGAAGGAGGGGTTTTGTTTCCCCGATATCGACGCTCGGCCGTCCGATCAAAACCCTTAAGATCGGACGATCGGTGTCGTCCAGGCCGAAATCAGCCCAAGAGGGATCGAGAGTGAGGCCACTTTTCTGGCCCAAGCCCAGGTTGTGGCCTGGGGAGGGGAAGTGCACTTGCGCGTGCACAAAAGGCCGTGGACCGACCGGCAAGGGCTGGAAATAAGTCTATTTTAGGTCCCTCAGGCCAAAAAAAGAGAATAAGTTCATTTTTAGTGCTCATTTTTTCAGAAGCATTACAATTATAAGTTATTGAATGTGTTTATTTCGAAGCAAACCTAAAAGGAAGTATTTTCTTTCTTTTTCCAAGTAAATAATTGTTAAATGACGTTTGTATTAATAAAATTAACAATTAAGCTCTGAAAAATTCAAATATAATTTCAAAGAGCGTAACTAATCATGGAGAATTTAAAAAAAATTAAATTTAACCATGTCATTTTATTTCTCACACTTGCTTTACTTATAAATTTATTTAATTATACACATACCTACTTAAAAATACCAAATATTTCAGCGAATTTGTATTTTAATTAATTGCATATTTTTCTAATCTGTACGCTTCACATTGTAACACAAAGGCACTTTTGCTAGACCAAACAACACTTTTGGTCAATATACACACTCCGTAATCACCCGGTGCAACGCACGGGCACTTTTGCTAGTTATCTATAAAGTCTAAGTACATTTAGTCCCGTAAAAACGTACGCCGGGAGCGCACGAGCAAACTAGGGACTCCCGTTTGGTAAATGCCACCACCGGATCGGAACCAGAACCACCGCACGACATCTAAACCACTCGGTTGCCCGGCTGACCAACTTGCCGAACGCACTATAACGCAGCACGCACGCACGCAGACACGCCCACGCGTTGCGGCGTAGGTACATTACATGGCGAGCACGCCGTTCCATTCCAAGTCAACGTGACAAACCAACCGAACGCACCACCTCCTCCTCCTTTCTTATTACTCCCGCGGCCGACTCCCCAGCCCTGCTCCAGTTTGGTCCAATCCAACCAAGCAGAGGCTGCAGCCTGCGGAGAAGAGGAGAAAGAAACAGAGTTTCAGTTTCCGACATGCCGCGGCTGCTGCCTGGAACTGGAAGGGCCTCCTCCTTGTCCTCTTCTTTGCTACTGCTCCTGCTGCTCGGTGCCGCGATGGCGGCGGCGCCGGAGGCGGCGGCGGTGATGCCCATGGAGGCCTACTTCTCGCCGGCGGAGCTCGTTCGCATTGCGGGGTACGGCGAAGAGCTGGTGTCGACGGTGATCGTGTCCGGGAAGGTCGTCTGCAAGCTCTCCCTCCGCCCACCCGGCTCCGACCTCCTCAGCATCGAGCTGCCAGGTTAGTCTTATTGCTCACCGGAATTTTTCTTGATAATTTTGCGTTTTTTTATTTCTCTTGCTTCCACCCCTCTGCTTGACCCGCAAATTATGATATTTTTACGTACATACGTCTTTATACCTGATATTGAATTTGCTCATATTTGCTACGTCTCAGGTGAGCATCAGTCGCGCGCATTTAAATTTATTTACTCTCATTACGTTCAGTTATTAATCGCCCTTTTAAGAATTATATATAGCTTGTTAATGGCTCTGTTCAGTTCATTTGTCGTGGTCAGACCATATCAAAGTTTCCTTTGTTGTGTCTGGTTATGTTACAGGGTGACTGACTGATCATGATACATATTGTTCAAAAATTCTACCTGAAAACAACATTAGCGTTCACCTCTGCCCAACGTAGGCTGGCTAACCCACCGTAAAATACACGAGTTGACAATCTCATCAATTTGCCAAAAAAACCAATGCAATTGGGACGATTCCTCCATGATCGATCTGGCTGTTGGGATATCAGAATATAAATATATAATCATAGATCACAGAACCACCAGAGTACTGAACTCTAAAAGCAATTGCTACTAAAAACACCACATATTAAAAAGGATTATAGTGCAACTGATTAATTAAGCGTTCCTGCCGAAATCAGCCATCAATTATATCGAAGGAGAACGGTCGTTTTCACGGCGGTTGTTGGCCGGTTAGGGCCGATGGATTGAGGTCCTGAGGAGAAGAGAAAGGAAGGAAGGCAAGCAAGGCGGCTGGTACAGGTCTCATCTCATCTGTCGAAGAGAGAGCAAGGCGACGTTGTAACCTCCTCCGACCCCTGGCAGATTCTGCAGGCTGGATGTATTACAGCATGATTAGCCGTCATGGAAGGCGTACTTTGATCTTATAGGTAGGTAGCTCACGTGTGTTCTTCATTATGTTTTCGTAACTTTATACTTCCTCCGTTTTACAATGTAAGTCATTATAGCATTTTCCACATTCATATTGATGCTAATGAATCTAGATATATTCATATTGATGCTAATAAATCTAGACATATATATATATATATGTCTAGATTCATTAGCATCAATATGAATGTGGAAAATGCTAGAATGACTTACATTGTGAAACGGAGAGAGTATAAAATAATGAATGTTTTCCAAACTAGTATTCCCTCCGTTCCAAAATATAACAACTTTTAGCCCTCAGAATTTGTTCCAAAATATAACAACTTATCCACCAATATTCTCTTCCCAACCAATCACAACCCTCCACCGTTTACTTTTCCCACCTACCTCCACTACTCATCCAATCACATCCCTCAACTACTCACTACTACCTATTTTCTTAATAACCGTGTCCAACTAGCTTCTTATATTCTGGGACACATGGATTACTATCTCGGTCACAAACTGTAGCAACTAGAAACCGGGTTGGGATGAGACCATATTCGTAGTCTTAGATAGATCTCATTCCATCTTAGATTGCTACGTTTTGGGACGCAGGGAGTAAATGGTTTATTTTTTAAACAACCTTTTGTATTGAAATTTTCTTAAAAAAAATAAACCCATAGTTAATATTTAATTAATTATACGCTAATGGTATTTTTCATTTTGCTTGCAGTAAAAAAAAAGCTAAAATGAACTTTCAAAAGCATCTATGCAGGAAACCAATGTGAATCTTATCAAAATATTGCAAGTCAAATCCTGTATATTGCAAAAGTTTTGGTAAATTTGGAGTGTTTTGTTTACAGGACGAAGAGAAAAAATGGTAAAGTCGGGGAGTCTGATGTACTACCAAATTGATGCCAACATTTTGTACGATTGCGAGCAGTATCAAATAATGTGCATCACCAAAATCTTGACATGTTGGCACTGCCAAAATATTTTGGTAGCTCCATGCATTCCTGTTAATAAAACAGATAATTATGTGACAAAAATACTTTGTGTTTCACGTTATAAGACGTTTTGGGGTTTTCAATAGATTTATGCATGAAATTATATATGTGTCTAAATTTATATGAATATTAGTGAATCTAAATAAAAGACGGAGAGGCCAAAACGTCTTATAATATGAAACCAAAGGGAGAGCATCACCAACAGTCTACCTATATGATTTCCAAAACTAATTTTGAGGGATTTTAGTCCAAAAATCAGCTCCAACAAATCCCCTACTCTCCTACCCGAGTTTTGTAGTTCCCTTCCCCCGGTTCCTCGCTCCGTTTATATGGGGGCGCGAAAGTCACTCCCAATCACGCAATCCCGCCTCTCTTCTTTGTTCCCGTGTGTGGGAAATAGCGATCTTTCTGTGCGTGAAAGAAAAAAACGGAATTTTCTCTCGGTAGTTTAACAGAAGGGCCCACTTTTAAGTTTTGGGGATTGAATTTAGACTATCTGTTGGAGGGAGGAGTTTTTTCACTTCCTATTTTCAGTTTAGGAAACCCAAAAACAAATTTTTAGGAGAAAATTATAGATAATCTATTGGTGATGCTCTAACAGCATTGATTACAATATTTTATATATTTGAAAAACAAACTAGCTACAGTTTTCTTCTTTTCTTTGCATTTATACAATAGCATAAAATAAATACAACTAACTACAGCGTATCCACCGTAAAACTAGCCCTATATGGTAGCCCTCGCCATCGGTTTTTACTCACCTGGGTATTATTTTCTTCCCCTTTTTTTAAAAAAAAAAAAAGTCAGCGGAGCGTACGAAAGCAAGTAGGAAAAAAATCGCTTAGGTACATCTGCTCCAGTTCAACACTCTTGAATGCAAGTTGCAACTAACATTTGTACGGTCAAACGTTATCTGAACTAATTTTCTTGTTGACGGATAAGGGTCTGATTTGTTCGCCAAATTCTGTTGTTTCTTTGGTCAAAAGTCTACCGACTAGCATGATGTAATCGAAAGGACGCCACCTCACCTTGGCTGTAGTTGGTTCTATGGGCAGTACAAGTTTGGGCCTCCATAAAAAAATGGAATTGGTTTGATTTTCCCAAATTTTATTCGAAATTTGTTGGTTCTAAAGGATTTGTTGGTCTAGATGCTGAGAAATGTGAAATATTGAGAATGACACATGATGAAGATGAACGGCCTGAACCAGAACACTTTGATATGTGATTGATGGAGGATCGTTCACCTGTTACATATCTAAACGAGTGCGTTTGGTTGCAACGCACTGTGTTGTCACCGTCAATTAGCCGTCTGCGTCAACGATCATACTGTGATTCGCACTGGAAGTCTAGAAAGATTGCTAGTGGTTTCTCTATTTTTGTGACAAAGAGGTGCTGTCTGCACGTATGCGCCGTCGTTTCAATATGTTCTCGTCATTCGAGCATTTCAATTCTTGCAGCTGAACTGGGAAATAATAAATTCAGAAAAAAAATCATTCTCATATGAGCCCGCTGCAATGCACAGGCACGGTGCTAGACTGCTAAAAAGAAAAATAAATCAGAAATTTACACACTAATTTGCATGCAGTTTTAAATCCCGTTGTGTCAATAAGTCTCCGGTGATTCTAACATACGCATACAGTGATTATAAATTACATAGAAAAGTTGAGAATGTTCTTACCTATCATTCCACCAAATTTTAAATTAAGGCCGAGTTTAGTTCCAAACTTTTTTTTTCAAACTTCCAACTTTTCAATTACATCAAAACTTTCTTACACACACAAACTTCCAACTTTTCCGTCACATCGTTCCAATTTCAACCAAACTTTCAATTTTAGCGTGAACTAAACACACCCTAAATATTTCTAGATTTATAGAAAAATATTGTTAAGGGGTAAAGTTAGCCATTTTCAATAATCAAGGGGTATATTAATTTTAAAAAATACTTTATGGAGTGTACCTACAGAATAATTTGAGGGAGTAAAATAAACTTTTTCCTTCTAGAAAAATTAAGAAGGCAATGGCTCAAGGGAAAACAACGATGGTATGCTCACTCCAAGTTATAATAGAAACTATATATAAATAAAAATTTAGTGGACCATCAACTCATGAAGTATTGAACTTCTCTTACATGTCAGCGATTTTTCCAATCAGTAGAAAAACATTCAATAACTCACATATTTACCTTTTTCATTCAAGGCAAAAATAAGCTATAGCTGCAAATAAAATGTGTACTTTGTCGGAACCTTGCAAAAGAAAAAAAATTAAAACATGCAGTAAAGTGTAGCTATTTATTGTGGAAGTTATTATAAGACGATTTGACATTTTTTCTTCTCGGTCTATTTCATATTATAAGAAGATTTGATATTTTTCTATGTGAAACTTCTTTAAGTTTGACTAAGTTTATAGATAAAATAGCAACAGCTAAAACATCAAATTAGTTCCATTAAATAGATTTTGATAGTATGTTTGTTTTGTGTTAAAAATATTGCATAGTTTTGCTATAAATTCCGTCAAACTAGGAAAAAAGTTAAAACATCATATAATATGAAACGGAGGAGATGGAGGGAGTAGCAACTGACAGATAGCAAAATTGTAACTGTATTGGGTGTGGCTGTGGCAAACTAATCCTAAGAGATAACATCCAATCTCATTCAAAGCTAGGCACAATTATCAGAAACGTTCATCTGGGGATAGAACAGTGCCATATATTCCAATTAGATTATTTACTAGCACCATAGATCTATGTTCTCTGTATGAAAAAGTATGTTTGAACCCCCCGACCCCCCCTGAAATAAAAAGAAGGATATAACCTTCTTACCCTTTTAATCATATAGCCATCCAAATACCAAAGAGGAACTAAACTAAAGCTTTCAAAATAATCCCCATTAATGGTGGTGTTAAAAGGGATTTGTTTCACCTTTTCTTTGAGTGACTTTTTGTTACTTTTGTACAAAAAGTGTGTGATAATGCGGCACGGAGTTAGCAAACAAAATAAATTAAATGTGTTAGGGTCCAGAGCAGTGTGTGTATCCATCTATCGAATTGCTCTCTTGGTCACTTCCTTTCGATAACTGCACCTTACATTGGTTGTAATCTTTTTTAATGAGAAAACAGATGCATGTCAGGTGCCAGTGCCATACCACCTTCAAAACCACAATAAGGGATTATCTAGACAATTTTGCTGATCTTTGCACGGTTTTGTAGTCAGGGGTAAAATGAATGCCGGCAACATATTTTACGATTCAGCTTATAAAAGGTTGTTGGAGTGTTCACAGTTTGCACTCAATGGATTTGTTGTTGGCTTATTGAAATCTTCTCTTCATTTCCATGTATTTATTTTGGTTTTTTCATGATATTATTCTACTTGGATATTAGCATTGTGCATGCCGACCACTTCAAATTTTTCTGTTCTGATGTATGGTTGAGGTTCATTACATATGAGAAAAAGCCATCATAACTATAAAATAACAAAGTTACAAGCTAAACACCTAATTTATACATAGTTGTAACCTCTTTTTGGTGCTGAAATACTATGCAAAGGGAATCATGAGCTAACCTTGTGATTTTCCTCAAGCAGGAGCTACAGTAGGAGTGGCCTGTGAAACTGGAGGTATAAAGACGATGGCTAACTCTGTATTCACAGTAACTGATGAGAATGGCAACTTCACCATAGAACTCCCTTCTCGGCTCCATGCCACACCAAACCTGGAGAAGGCTTGCTCTGTCAAGGTGCTCCAGCTCCCGCTAGACTGTGCGTGTTGGCCTCGCCGTAGTCCTAGTTACTACCATGGCATCCAGTTATCATCATCAGAGGATGGCATCCGCTCCTACACGACAGGGGTGATACGGCTGCAGCATCATGATACAAAGTCAGACATGTCCATGCACCATGTTGGTACAGAATAGAATTGATGATAGACAAACAATTGTTGATGTAAAGTAGTTCGATTCTTGGTTGAGTTCCATTTTCTTTAAATTTTCAAGAAGCGTAGTTGGGTAGATCGAATAGATGCCTTTTTCCATATATTTTCTTCCTATCCCTACTTCATTTCTTGTAATTATGACCTCCCTTTATAATATACAACCAGATGTCTGGGCTCCGCCTCACCTACGTAAACTGAGCTCTACAACAAAAAATGCCAATTTGGAAAAGGAAAAGAACATACCTATCAACGTGACGTCTGGTCATGATTTAAGTAACTAAAGGCATAATGATCACAAGGAAGAAACTAAAGGAATGGATATCAAACCTAAATCATTTACTTCAAACATCACAGAGGAAATAGATTGTAAAACTTCACAGAAAAATACGGAATGCTGCATAAGAGTACAACCATAAAAGCAGTGTCCAAACCATACATGTTGTGTAAATGCTACATCAATATTAAACCGTGGAAAGGAAAGAAAATTTAATATTATGCAATGGATAAGTACAAGAAAGAAATAAATAAATCATACCTTATGGACTTGTCTGGTGCTTGCGGTAGTGCCAAATAATAAAATGTCCAAAGACGTTCTCCATGACTTGAGATGATGAGCATGGAACACCTGAACATGGAGCACCAGAAATCGCAGCAAATGAAAATCAGTGCACTTTATCATTGAACACCAGTCTAGAAGACACCAAACTAGAGAAATCAAATTGATCAAGCTCCCTACCTGATTTTACTGATTGAAGAATCATTCCATTGATAATTGCTTTGCAAGCGTCCTCATTTCTGCAGTTGGAATAACTAGGTGACATGCAGAGATCTCCTGTGGGCCTCAATCCAAAGGTAGCTGAAAAAAAAATTATGATAAAACAGGGTGAAGGACTGACATGTAGCAAGCAGCAGAAATGCCGACAGCAGAAGTTTGAAGTCGGTTGCAGATTAGTACAGGAGCTCTCAGCAAGTAATGTGTATCTGGCCTACATCTCATTCGATTGGCCACTGTTGAATAATTTGTTTTAGGGGTCATAGTACCAATTAAACCATATAGACAATATCTGTCCCTCAATCAGAAAATCAAATTATATGTCAATTGAATTGATTAAATTAATACAAAGTAGTCACACATATCCAATTTTCAATCTTCATTGTAGATAACTGTTATTTGCGTGATCAGAGAATATTATGGGACATTGATTGAAAATAAGAACTAAAAGAGTAATTACTCATAGGCCATAATCAGAATACTCTCTTTGTACAATTACACAACATACATCACATTTTGTCACAATCCGTCAGCGAGATTCGAGATTCAGACAGGAATTGGGGGCAGGAACAGAGGAAGAAGACGAGTTCAGAGAAGGATTTGATAGCAGGAAGAGAGAAGATTTGAATTGAGTTGAGATATGTTTCTATTACAAGCCATCTCTCTCTCTCTCTCCTCTGCCGACCTTTTATAGCACAACACTATTAGGTCTCTCTCACTGACTCTGGGCCCAGCCGATAGCTACTAGACCCACACTCCACCCATATATCTCGTGTTGGGCTTGGGCTGCCGTGCGGTACGCTTCAACGGAACCTCAACTGTTGAAGGAGTAGAAGTAGACTCCGTGACACATTTCATCTCAAGAAACCAAAAAGGCATACTTACTTATAAGATACAAAGGAAATGCTGTTCTGCCCTCCTCATTCAAAGACAAAATGATGTTCCCCCTTAAATCAATACAAATAATTCTAACTATTGTCAGATTTCTTTTTTGAAGAAAAAAGAGAAGCAGTGACTATGATGTGAAAATTGGGAAACAAAAAAAGAGGGTAAAAGGACAGTAATACTCTATTTACCATGATGTCATTAATTTCGCATGGTACTCAACATCCCATCATTACGAACAACCAAATAAATCAATACATAATATTAGCGTAGGTGCCTCCAAGAGGTTGCATTTCATTACCATAGTACTGCTTTTTAATTGTTTTGTTGGATACCTCCACCACCATAATACTGTTTCGTTGTCTGTCGAGAAAATTCAGCAAACGTCATCCCTTCTTTTACCCTTGATGACAGAGGGGGGATCTTTTTCAAAATATCTTGCATCAATGTATGCTCACTCGAAAACATGTCTGACCCATCACTGAATGTTGAGTCATCGCCTTCACTAGGTTCATCATCACCAGCAAAACAGTGACCAGAGTAAGGCAACTTTTTGTCCCATGATGGCTGTAAGAAGACCACAAAAGTTTCCCGGCTGATGTTTGTTGAGCCGTATGGTCTACTCACAGCATGAAGTGTAGACCTCAGCTTCCCGCCTGACAAGATGTCTGCTGTCTCCCCGACCTGCACAATGAAGCTCTCTGGAGAGCATCTCACCGAGAATACCTTCCTCCTATTGAATAGCTGCAAGTACGTGTGCTCGTCAGGAGGAGAGCATTCTTTGTTGATGGAACAATCTTCTCCCATTGTGGAGCACAAGAATAATGGTGCTGTTAAAACAGTAAGGACCCCATAGTCATAGTGCCACTCTTGCCATAAGTTTGTGAGAGAAACAACACTACCCTGACCATGAATCGACTTATCATTGGAATCCTTTAATGTGTCCGTCATAGCACATTCTGATCTGATACAGGATCCTTGTGATGATGCAGACCTTCGAGAGCATGACTCATAAGCTGTTGCCTTTGCGATTTTATTTATCGGAACTTTTCTCTTGCTGCTACTATTCTTGATAATAATGTTATCCAACTCAGAGTGGTAGTGAATGAGCCTTGCCTTTGCGGTCCCAAAGTCAGTAATGCTTTTCTCCAACTGATTTCCACCAGTAACAGTGTCGCAGGCTCGTGCAACCAAAATCCCAAGTTCCATCATGCAAAGACCAAGCTCCTCAACGAGCTCACCAAGCTTCTCGGTACCATCGCCCATGGGTTCCCCAATTACAACACCATCCAAAGCTTTCTCCAGATAATCAGGGTCGTTCTTGATGCTCTCGATTTCTTTCATCGACTCCAGCAATTGGAACTCACCTGAATGACGCAAAAGCCGCGCAAATGAGGAAACGCGCCGGTCCAGCTTCTTCAGAGGCACGTCGCTACCCAAACCGTGCTTCTGAAATGGGGGTGAATCAGATCAGTGCATAGGGGTTTTGGAGCTTCCAAAGAGGAGGGAGAAGAAGGGGGAGAGAAGAGGATGAAGAGTGCGGTTACCTTGAGGAGCTGGGAGCGGGAGGGGTGGTCCATGACGGCAAGGCGGCGAGCCAGCGGGAGAAGCCGGCGGCGGAGGGCGGCTGCGAGAGGCACGTTGGTGATGGCAAGCAAACCGGACCCGCCGCGACCAAGGGAGGTAGCGACGGTGGTGAGGAGACGGCCGCGCCGGCCATCGTCCGGAAGATCCGGTGAGATGAGGAGGAGAAGATCCGAGAAAGGGAGCTCGGCGATGTCCAATGCCGTCGCCAGAGCGGTCTTCGCCATGGACTGGAAATGGCAGACTTGGAAGATGCGAGCCCTGCAGAATCCGGTGTGGCTATGGCCTTATCGGAGGTGAGAGAGAAACGCACGCGCCGGCGAGACGGCGAGCCTTCCTTCTATGATTCTATCTCTCAGGCGGCGGCGGAATAGGAGGAACCGTCTCTTTTTCTTTCCTTTTGGAGTCCGTGGTAATAATAAGATTTTTGGTTGAAAAACTTTGAAATTAGGAAATTATAGCTATCATTATAATTAGATAAATTTTTGGTACAGGACACTTTAACTTATATATTTAGCCGTATAACACCGTCCGAACTCCATAAACGTGGTGATTTACCAATGGACACCGCGCCAATTAGAATAATAATTTCTGATTAAAGAGGAGAGAGAAATCTTATGAAATGTCAAAAATGCCCTTGGGGCCACATGTCAGCTATCATATCTCTCTTCTCTTCTCTTCTATCTCTATCTTCACTCCAACGCCGTCGTGCTGCCCGTCGTCTTCGTCATCGTCCAGCCCTCCCTCGGCGAGAGTGGAGGGGGGCAGGGAGGTGGAAGGCGGCGGTGGCGGCGAGCGGCGCTTGCGGCGGGAGCGGCGGAGGACGGCGGGAACGGCCGACGGCGGCGCTCGCGGCAGGAGCGATGGAGGACGGCAAGGACGTGGCGAAGCGGCACGGGACGATGTTAGTCACTGGGGCTCGAGCTACTAGCTAATACCCTCTATCCGATGCCCTCCTGGTACTTCGAGAAGCTACCACTGATTGACGAGTTCCTTACGACAGCTCGTCATGACCATACAACCGGGGCTAAATACGGAGGAGTACTCTCCCCAGGAAATTAACTTAGGACTATATACACGTGCGGAGGAATACCCGTACTGAGCTGTCACCATCAGCGGCCCACCTCTCATCTGCAGCATATAACCCCAAATAATGATATCCCGTAGTCTAGATACCACGTCCAAACTACCATATACTACTCTAATATCATCGTCACGACATAGAGTAATTGCATAAGCAAACACTATACCCGTACCAAAGCATCTCCCAGATAAGCTAGCAGTATAATCAGTATAACATGAACATAATGTAAAATTGGTATTCATATACTCGGGAAGTATTCAAATACCATAAATGTATAAAGAAGAGTATTCTAAATAAAGTACAAAGCTTACCAAAGAGGAAAGGAAAGCTATTAGAGCTATACCCGGACTCCGATTTCTACTCTATTCCTACTCCACTAGCCTAAGAACACTAAACTAAACTTGAGAGAATATAAGAGAGCTTTGCTTGAGGTGTGTCTTGAAGTGAAGAGAGTGAACTCCTTTTATAGGCAGGTAATGACAGTTATAGCGGTTGGAATGGTCGGTAATACCCTCCAACTGCCATAGGGAGGCAATCCACCGTCCACCGCCAACCCTGCATCCAACGGCTGCACGTCAGGTTCGGCCGAACCCCCTGGCTCGGCCGAACCAGGGTACGGCCCAATCCAGCCCAATTTCGGTTGGTGGCCTCCTCTTTTGTTGCTCACTTCAGTCTTGTGAATTTTGGCCCAATTCACCGTGTCAATTCAGAGTTCTTGGCCCATTCATATATAAGTCTGATTCTCGACATCGTCCGATTGATTTATCATCTGATTCAATGTCGATTCTCTTCCACTTTATGATTATTCTCTACAAAAGTTTAGTGAACCAAATACTAGTGGAATATTATTATTCTAACATGGATATGTATTGCAAGCATAACTAGTTCTCCTCTATTTTGGGAATATTGATGGTCAAAACTGATAACTAACAACCGTCAATAGCCTAAACCACTAGAATGCCACCGAAGCACCTCTAGAGGGCGCAAACACAAAAGAATCAAAACGCTAGGGAAAAGGTTTTGATATCAACAAGAGTAAAATTATGTTTCTTAGTTTTCTGCAAACATAAAACCTGACAACCACTCTCCTCAACCTTTTGCCTTCTCATCAAAATCTTGGCATCAACATTCATTCCCTTTACATTCCAGCACATCACATTCCAGGATCTAAACTGATTATTCATAGCAAAAGGCAGAGAGAAAGTAACCATAAACTGGATTAAGACAAGTAAACCAGATAAACACAGAGTGCTCTGCCCATGACAGAAACATAATAGGTTCACAACGCTGTTCCGGTTCCAAACACTAAAAACAAGCAGAGGTAGCCGGAACTTTAAACAAAAGAATCTATTCATTCCTTAGGATCTGGTCGAGGGAGTTTCTTCCTCTTCTCTCCCCCTAAGCTTGATTCAGCCACCTAAGCCGTAGACTTCCACTCTCAACATTTGCAAAAGCGATAACGAGCAATCAGAAGGGGAAGAATTTGAATGAAAATTGTCCCTAGAAACTGAAAAATATGGTTAATTCAGTTTTCTCCTCTTTACCTACATACTATATGTGCACTTTGAAATTGCCTAAATTAGTTATTGATAATATTAATAGTGCAAGAAAACAATGTCTTTGGAGGGGTTTTGAGGTGAATTCAAATAGGAAGTATCTTGAAGCTTGGGATAAAGTTTGTAAGCCAAAACTTAAGGGAGGTTTGGGAGTTTTAAATCCTTCAATTCAGAATCAAGCTTTGCTTTTAAAGTATTTGGAAAAATTCTACAATAGAAGAGAATTGCCATGGATTAAGCTTATTTGGAATTCATATTATAGAAATGGTGTTCCTCCTATGTCCATTTTTAAGGGTTCTTTTTGGTGGAGAGATATCTACAATCTAATGGATTTTTTAGAGGAGTTACCAGATGTTTAGTTGGAGATGGTGTTTCTTGTTCTTTTGGAATGATGTTTGGAGTGATGACCCTCCACTCTCTGTCTCTATACCGAGGCAATACTTATTTGCTGTCAATACAATGATCTCGGTTCATAATTTCCTCAATTTGGAATTGGAAGATAATTTTCACTTGCCTCTTTCTCAGCAAGCTTTTGAAGAGTATCAGTCTTTATCTCAGATGTTAGAAGAGGTAAACATCTCATAGGAATATGATACATGGGCTTATATCTGGGGAATTTGAAATATTCATCTTAGAAGTTTTATGCTTTAAACTTTAGTGCCCTGCAGCCACCGCAATATTTCATTTGGTTATGGAAGAGTAGAGCTACCTCGAAAATTAAAGTTTTTGGTTGGCTGCTTATGAGGGATAGATTGAACACAAAATACATGTTGATCATAAGCACTATGCACATCCGAATTGTGACTTAAACTATGTGCTATGTTTGTCTATCTCAACTAAAACTTTGCTCCATCTTTATTTCATGTGTCCTTTTGCTCAGAATTGTTGGAATATCTTGGGCATATCTTCGAATATCTCTCTTAGTTTGGAGCTAATGTTGGTGCATGCTAGAAGAAGATATCATGATCTTTGTTCCACGCGCCGGTCCGTCGCCACACCGGTGCTCGAGCTCGCCAGCCCCACTTCTCCGATGGAGTCACCTCTCACCTCGCACTACTCGTGTCGCCCTGCCGCTCTCAAATCTTTCTATGACGTTGGGCTCTCCCAGGACATGTGAGCTGTCCACCTGCCAGCTTACTTGGCCCTGTCAATGTCGACCCCCGATTTTGGAAATCGGAAATCTTCTGTGTTTATCAGTACCAATCCCAGAATCAGCAGTTGGTACACACATACATAGCTGAATCACAACATATCACGAATGAATTCAGGCTAAGAGAGTTAAATGCTTACATTAGGGCCAGGTAGGCCAACAACTATCAGAGAACAACAGCGGAAGGCAAAATAATACAAGGGCCCGGTTGACATGCCACAAGCAGTCGACTGGGGAACGAGACCTAGAATGGAACCGCACTCCGATCATCTTGTTAGGTACGCAAGTGTACTAACAAGGGCTTCTCTTCAACACTCCGCTAAAAGATATATATAGAGCAACAATAAGTACAAAAGTACTCAGCAAGCCACCACACAAAATGCAGTAATGTAAGGGTATTACAAAGAGTGGCTATGATTACTTTGCGTAAAGATGAGTTTTCAAATATCATTTCACAAACCTAAGACCTAGCATAAACTGATCAAGTTTTAATTCCATTGTTCATTAAACAGCGACGGTTCTGTCCACCATCCATTGTGTTCCCAATGATAGCTTCCTGCCACTGGTCGTCATGGTTTTGTGGGGGTCTACCCCTTCTCGCATCTTGAGAAGTTGATCCACCAGTACAAAATCATCATGCAATATCCCACCCATCATTTTAAGAATTTAGAGTCTAGCCAAGTGTAATACATGTCCCGGTGCTCAATAACCGTGAGCACGGCTATTCGAATAGATTGGTTTACTCACACTGCAGTGGATGTACACTTTACCCGTACTCCGCGACTTGCCCAACACATGAGCCTACGTCCCAACGAATGAGACTTGCCACGGCAAAGCCTTTCAATAACCTCACTTTGGTAGTACCCGCTCCATGAACTTTAGTCCTCATGCACTCTAGGCGTCCAAGGTTTCTAGCAGTGAGAGGAGTTCTGGCGCTCCCGAGGGGGAAAGACTCACACATTCATTAAGTTATAGTTAAGTTTAGGTTTGCACATGGCAGTCCTACCGATGGCGACACCACTGTAGGCACCCGCCCCTCGCGGTCCTACCAATGGCTGCCCCACCGTAGGCCCTGCCTCACACACAACAAGAAAACCACTATGGCTTGGGTACCGCCTCCGCTCGGCTATTTACTCCGTTAGGTCTATACCCACACGAGAAGTACAGTTGTACGGGGGTCGTTTCATGCTTAACTTCATGGCTCGGTCCTTAACTGACCAGGGACGGCACTAGCCTTTTCCGGACACCACCCAAGTCCTCCAGCCGCCCCAGTCGAAAACAGTTGTTTAGTTTCATTTTTCCTTTCACAAATCATGTCACCAATGTCATGGCAATGTGGTGCTCATGTCTCCACATGCCGTATCTCAACTACCTTCCCTAAGGTAGTTGCCCAAGCATAAAGCATTTTGATAAATATGAATATGCATGATTCTAAAGTAGCATGGCTAAGCATTTATCAAGTATTGAATAAGGACACACGATATCATGGATTACAAAGATTGCATGGATCATCAATATCAAAGGCATGGCATATAGCGAAGTAGGGCATTCACATATATCCATATAGCATGCAAACTTTATTTTAAATCCAAAATAAGTTCGCAATGGGTTCAACATGCTCAAAGATTAGTGATGACTTGCCTGCTTAGGAAAGTTCTTATTCTTGATATAATCTTGATCAACCTTTACCTCCTGGAAGCTGCATACGTTGCCTCACGACTAACCGATATACAATTTCTATAATACGCGAGAAAAACCAATATTCAAATAACAATAAAATATGCACAAACAAAATATAATTGTTGGAGTCGGATGTAGGGTTGCTCATACTATACCAGCTCGCTAATGATTTATATGGTACTAAAAGGTCTAAACTACGGGTTGTTCATATCCAAAACTCAATACTCAGGACTATGGCTCAATTATCTTTCGATTATGGCTACGGGGAGTTCATGGCTAAGCTAGCTTTGATCTAAATTAGAGGGTGATGTCCTACCGGAGGTTTACTAATGCCTTAGTGGATAATCTAATTATAGCAGTACTAGTTCTAACAGGATGGATTGTCAACGCATGGCCCTACAAATATTACAATATAGGAGTCCCAACGAATTATCGTGCTTTGTAAGTTAGACTGGCATGGTCCATAATGTCTGTAGTTAAAGATTATCTCACTGCATAATTTTACAATAAATAATCCTAAGTCACAGTTGAACTATAATTGTGTGAGGTTAAAATTTATAATTAGTATTTCATCTAATTTTGATATTTTATCGTATAATTTGTAGTTTAAATAGGCGCAACAGTAAGTGACTGTGTTACAGTATGTGTAAACAGATGTACCGCACATATGCGAGTTCAAGAATGAATTAATATTGGATTATTTATTATATAAACACTTGCCACTTACCACAAAACTATACAGTATATGGGTGCAAGAATATATTAACCTAGGATCATTTACAGAATATGTGCAATTTACTACCAGCTATACCATATAGGTGATCTAAGTAGGTTTTATGAGTAGGTTACTATACAGGAGCTTTTTACTGGAGATTGTACTGTTCAAGTGGTCAGGATGGCTCTATTTGGTTAATTAATGAGTGTCAACTAATTTATGTGTATATACTACTCCACATGACATTGGACAGACTAATTATCTTTTTAAGTGAGCCAATACAACTAGCTCTGTTATTATACCTCGAAAAAGTTTAAGACTCATCTATATGTATTCATATTTTGGTTACAAAATATGAGGCTAAACCTCATTTATATAGTTTGGAAGTCGTGTGTATAATTATGTATGGACATACATTATTAAATGGCACTAGTATTTTCTATGCTCTAATTAATTTGAAACAATACTCCTAATTAGTTTAAATGGGTGCTACAGTGACAAAACATGTTAGAGATAACTACTACTCCATCTAATCTACTGTACAATACCAATTTTATTCATCTGCATATTTTCAAATTTAACCATAATTCACCGTTTTGATATCAATTAGTTTATAATACAAATATATTTAATTAAATAGTTTATTGTATACTATTGGAAAGCTTATGAATTTAGATTAATTTAGGTTCAAATTTCACTCAAATCCGAGTTAAAATGAATAAGATATGCTAGTTTAAATATTCAAATTTGAATAATTGCGAAACAGTACTGTTCATATCCGATTTATTTTGATCCGAAACCTATCCACTGCTCAAGTGACTGACGGGTGGGGTCAGGGGTCTTATTATCTTTTCTACCGAATTATTTAGAGAAAAATGGGGAGTGGGCCCGGCTTGTCAGTGGCTCGGCTGCTCTCTTTCTCTCTCTCGTTCGTTTCCCCATCGTCTTCTACCTCCGGCCAGGCAGCAACGAGGCGGTGCGGCTCCGCAGGGCGCGGCGGGTACGGGGCTGGGGCGGCACGGCGGCGGCCAGGGAAGGCGCGGAGGAACTCCGGCGATCCACCGTCTGCGGCGGCGGCGCGTGACGGAGCGAGGGCGAGCAGTGCGGCAGGGCAACGCCATGGCCGATCTCGGTTGCAAGGGGATAGGGCGGTAGAGCTAGGTTCCTTCCAAATTGATGGGTGCGCGAGCGTCTACGAGGTATGGGGGTTTCGTTCTGCTTGCTAGATGGGAAGGGGAGCCTCTGGGGTGGTCTGTCCACGATGATCCCGCCGGCGGCGGAACGGCGGCCGGGGCGGCACAGCTACGACGGTGCACATCCCAAATTGAAGGGGCCGGCGAGTTCTATGCTACAAGAGGTTTCTCAGGGCGCGAGGATTTACCATGGAACGGACGGACGACGAAGGGCGAAGACGCGTGGTGCGGTGCGGACGAAGCAGAGGTGGCTAGCGGTCGGCGACGTTCGCAGGTGTTCGACGTGTGCTCCTCGGCTACCCGGCTTCCCCAATGGCGACGGCGGCAGCAAGACTATTCCTCCACTCCCTCCAACCTCCAGCTCCGGCTGGGGAGCCTCACAATGGTGATCTCTAGCGGTGGTGAGAGGGTGATCGCAAGGTGTTCGATGGAATGCATGACTGGAAAAAGGCAGAGAAGGATGGGGTTTTTATGGCCGGGCTTGGCTTAGGATGTAAGAAAACTGTGGAGGATAAGGATGCCAACACACAATAGCTGAGCTAGAGCCCTAATGGCAATCGGATAAGGACATTGAGGTGGACGACGCAGATAAGGGTTGATCCTCCTAGGATTCGGGTTCAATGCGGCATGATTTGCCTATGTGGTAGGGTTTCAGGAGAGGGAGTGCTAGCTGGGGAAGAAACGCTGCATTATCCAACGGTCTCAGCTAGGGGTGACGATATGGCGATGCGATGGCGACTCGCGACGGGATAGGGTGACGCAGGTGCTCGTGGCGGCGCAGCCTTATTCGGGCGGGCCCACGCGTCGCGGATGAGGCCTCACGCGGATGATGGGGCTGATGGGGCCTCACGCGTAGAGGGAGGTGGGGCTGATGGCGATGGATGCGGAGAGGAGATGTGCGCGAATGACGAGGGCCTTGATCTGGTTGCCGATGTGGTCACAGACCACCAGGCAAATGAGGTCGAGGGAGGCCTAGCGCGACAAGGGCCACCATCCGCCTCATCCGCGCACGCGGGAAGCACAAAGTCCTATGAAAGAAGAGTAAACTGCACACTAGAACACATGTACTAGAGTGATACCAGAAGCCAAACCCACAAGAATATATATGACATAGAAAACGAGTTCGCAAACAGTGAGCCACCTTTCATTCCAACCAAAAGTCATGGAGGCACCCTCCCACGGCCTCATCGAATTTGAGCGTGGTGTCCCCACCTCCCTCGACCGATGGCGCACACGGCCGCCAGTGCGCATGAAGAGGGCTCCCGCGGCGGTGTTGAAGTCAGCGCAGAGATCATGATGTAGGCTGCGATGGCCAGGTGGGCAGTAGCCGTGGCAGGGACGGGAGTGGTTGGGAAAGGGATCGAGGTGAGGAGGAGATGGGGAGTAAGCCAACACCTGCAATGGAACCCACCTCCTAGCCTTCCGGAGTGGGCCGCTGTCCTCCCTGGCTCGACGACCGCAACCTCTCGTCTGCTACCATGTCGCACGAAGAGGGGAGATGCAGGGGCAAAGATAATAGGTAGAAAGAGAAAGAGATGGGAGGAGAGAGAGAAACGAAATAGAAGGAAAAAGATGAGGCACTGAACACGTGGGCCTCACATGCTGACTTAGCCGGTTTTACAAGATTAACGAGTCACGTCAGCATAAAATGCCCACAAAAGCACCAAGTGAGTTATTTTGTATCCATTTCAATAGTTGGAGGACCAAAATATTTAGTATTATGGTTGAGGGATACGAATAAGATTTGAACAATATTTGAGGGAGTCAAAGTGGACTCATTCCTATTTAACAGCGGTGTATTCTAGCAATTCAGCCACGCCCTGGGTCGTGGCCTAGGTGCCCGGGGGCAAGGTCTGTCCCTGCACCTCACTTCAATTATCTGGAATGTCATTTCTTAGGCTTAATTTATTGGCGGAAATGCTAATGCGCGGGTGGGTGATCGCCCCGCGCTGGCCCAAGCGATCACCAGTGCTGGCCCTTCCCCTATGCTCCTCCCTCTTCTCTCCCTTCCTCCTCCCCTTCTTCTCTTCCTACTACAGTACACCACAAAAACTTTTAAAAAAATAAAAGTTAGAAAAATTTATGTATAGAAATACTATATATAAAAAATTTGAATTCAAATTCAAATTTGAATCGGGTATGTAAACTTTTGACTTATAAACTTTGGGTCTATAAACTTTAGGTGTATAAACTTTAGATGTATAGAAATACTATATATAGAAAATATCTGAATTCAAATTCAAATTTGAATCGGATATAATTCAAATTTGAATCGGGTATGTAAACTTTTGACTTATAAACTTTAGGTCTATAAACTTTTAGGTGTATAAAAATACTATATATAGAAAATATTTGAATTCAAATTCAAATTTGAATCAGATATAATTCAAATTCAAATTTGAAACGGGTATATAAACTTAAGGTCTATAAACTTTAGGTCTATAAACTTTAGATGTATAGAAATACTATATATAAAAAATATTTGAATTCAAATTCAAATTTGAATCGGATATATAAACTTTTGGTCTCTAAACTTTAGATGTGTAAACTTTTGCATAAATTTACTAAAATGGGAAAGTAATGCGGTGCCAAAAAAGGAAACCAGGTGGAGGGAGGGAGGGAGGAGGGGGATTGATCGCTAACCCCGTCCCCAGGCGATCGATCGCCCTTTTAGGTCCCATTTATTGGTGAACTAGAAAATCAGTGTGTTTGTTGGCGCGCCAACTATATGGCCAATCATGTGTCTACTTATGTGTAAGTCAACAAATGAGAACGTTCATTTGTTCTCTAGGACTCTCTTCTGTTCTGCCTCCCTCCCACACAGTTACTATCTCCCAACTCCAATAATCCCTCACAACAATGCAATAATCATTTAACGATCCATCGTAATAATTATGTACTTAAGTGCTAAATAACATGAATACATGATATTCATAATATAAAAATACAGCTAAGCAAGTGTGAAATAGATGGTGAAAGCCTTGGACTAAATCAATTATTGTTCATGATCGCATCTCTGAATCAATGCTAATTTACCCCTGAATGATTTGTCCCTGTTCTTCTATGTTTGGTGGTGCTGGTATTATATACATGTTTAGAACGGGATCACAGGCTAACAAATGGAGTCAATCTTTAACGTGTGTAGTAATTTCATTTTATATACAGTTGGTCAACCATGACAAAAGGGAATATCAATGCTCACAAACAAAAAATGGCTTACTAACAAAACCTACAAACTGATCTTCTTAGCCACCGGCGCCAGGGAGAAAACTCCGTCCTCCGTGGCTCACCGGTCTCCGCCCTCCGCCATCGGCATCAACGTCAACGAGATCATCTTCAAGAGCATCCAATTTTAGGTCAGCCCTCACAACAAGCACCTTGTTTCTCTATTGCTTTCTTCAGGCTGATAAGCTGCTTGCTCTGTGCTGGTTTGCACTGAATCATGTAGTACTATTTTTGTTCACTATATACTAATTGGTTGGATCATAATTTTGAAGGGTTCAAAAGAACGGCAAAACCTGAAAATTTATGTTTGATGTTGGGCTCTTAAATTAAAGTTGGAGGATTGTGGTTATTATGTTTTTCTTTCCATGCATTTGATGGATGGATGGATCGATGTTTGATGTTGGGCTCTTAAATTAAAGTTGGAGGATTGTGGTTATTATGTTTTTCTTTCCATGCATTTGATGGATGGATGGATCGATGTAATGCTTATGATTTTACCAGATAAATTTATTGGGTACATGACTGTGCAGGGTAGATTAATTTCATCAAACGCGTACTTATGTTTAAGATAAAAAATAATACATACTTATGTTGTTGTACTGGCTGCATCTACCTTATTTGTGGCCAAATAATATTTGTATGTGCTATGAGTCAATCCAATGAAGGCATAAAGTTTTGAATTATCGTTAGCATAAAATTTTGAATTATCATTATCCAATTCTGCTTCTGCCTTCAATTTTGGGCGAAAGATACTACTGATTTTGCATTTGACCATGTCTCCTGTACACTGTATATGACATCATCTTGTGTAGTAATATTTAAACCATCTCATTATGTTAGTGTCTGAATTGTGAAATTAAAGGTCAAAACATCCAAACTGAATGGTGTTTTTTTTTCTATAAATGCTCATACTGCATTTAGGAGGTAACCAGTATTTTATTTTCTTTAACTCTTGCTGATTTGGTTTCATTTCATTTAGGTGGATTGCAGACCAGTCCTTTTTGGTAAACGAAGTGAGGGGGGAACTACTGTTGCGACCATCCACAGAAAGTGAGCACTTCAGTTTGGGAATTTCAGGTCGCCGATATTTCCTGCAAAGGTCGCAGTGTTGCCCACCTCATTGATCTCCTCTGATCTTTCCCGCAAAGAGTCGCTAACGACGCCCGCCTCGTCGATCTCCTCCGCGCCGCCACTGATCCCACAATGGCCACCGTCGTTGAATCCCCTTCGCCGCATGCAGCCGTCATTGGAGCGAGCGCCGTCGTCCAGCCTGTCGCCCACTGCGTAGGTCCCTTTCGCTGAACTGCGGTGCCCGTTCGCCGGGGAGCCCTCCTCTTCCACTGCCATCTTCAAAAGGTACAAATGCCCTCCTCCTCCCTCCCCACCACCATTTGAATTGACTATAACAAATTTGATGATGTGAATAGTGGCTCTCCCGGTATGGTTCTATGGGTGTTGTTTTTCTAAAGTTGTTTTCACCACAGGGTTACTACTGATTTTTGTATATATGTTTTTTAATAGATACATTAAGGTTATTGCTGTTCCTGACTCTATATTAGAATTGTCACTGTTCTTTGCTCTCCAAGACGTTTGTATAATGTATAATCTTACACTGCCAATTGAGGGAATTTGAGACTCTTAGGACTTCCATTTTCAGTCAAAGGTTAATTTTTTTGGTTCACAGTGACAATTTCTAACTCAAATTCTACAGTCCAGAACAACCTCGGCCAAGAAGGCAGCAGGTCTACGTCACCGTCTTCCCACGCTGATGCCGTGTATGCTCCCTACCTCACCACAAGTACTGCTACATTCACGACCGTATCTTGATTTATATGGCCTAGAGTTTACACTTAAGTTTATTAATTATATGCCCTTCCTTTTATATTTAGCCATCACATTTTACTAATAACCGATCAGCGTCGCCACCGACAACAATCTACTCCGCTGCAGAAAGGTACAGATCCCCTCCTCCCCCATCCCTGATATGTCGCCATATTGTATTTTTGTCATTACAACCCACGCTAACTGCCGGTAGCATAAATCCAGTTATATGGTCAAATGATTGGAGAGCAGGCATGAAACTCTTTGGTATCCCCGAACATTATTACTTTATGTGAACAACCTTAAATGGATCGATGTGCAGCATACAAGAACACTAAATATTACTACTAGGATTCTATATTGACAACTGAATTTCTATTGTTTTGTTTTTTCCTCATACTATGTTGTCAAATAGAAATACTATATACGTCAATTTGGATGTACATAGTATCACATCTGTTTTGTTGACCCATTGCCATCACCTAGAAGAAGTACAAACTAGCAACGAAGTTGCGGTAGTCGCAGACACCTTGCTTTGTCAGATCCCATTTATCCTTTAGCACCCGAGGTCCTCTACTCCAGTTTGTAGAGGGAACCATGGTAACAACAATTTCTACTTCCAGTAAAAAAAACAATTTTTACTATTCTTTTTACTGCTATCTTGATTTTTTTGTGTGTGTCGGTTCCTGGATAGGTGATTGACTGTTTTCATGTTAGATTCAGTAAATTGAATTATGTACTTAATTTTGTCAAGCTAGATAGCGTATGATACGGAACTACGGAAGTACATGTCAAAAAAAAACTGAGAGGATATTGATTCTTTTGTTTGTTGAGCTTGCAATTTAGTTGAGACCTTGCGTCCATAAGAAACTGATGTTTGATGATCAATTCGTGCTTCACTGTCCAGTTTTGCTCTATCATTTAGGATTTTCATTGCCCAGCCAAATGAAGATGCCATTAGTCTACACATGTTTCCTGTTTTCTTCAAACTGATATTGATGATAGAGGAGACTATTGAATGCTGTTGGGATTATACCATGCATCAGAATAAAAGTTAGAAAAAGACATAACTTCTCCGACATGACTTATGATCTGGTTTATCCTATCTTATAAGGTATACAAAATTCTAATCTATGCTCAATATGTCTCATGTATAATTCTATATGGCTCGTATATAAATTTTGGATATATAATATGACTCATTGGTAAAAAATTATGCATTTGTGCACGTGGATTTACTATTCTGCGAGCTGCTTGTGATTTTCAGTTTTTCACTTCTATGTATGTCTGATTTATATCCAAATTCATTTACTTGTCTCTAATATACTACGGGGATTCGGTAGCTGAAGCTGTATCACCTTGTCACCAGTTGCATCGCCGAACAAAACAGTGAGATAGGTACTTTTTGCATCCTTCTTTTTTTCTTGGCCTTTATTATTCTGACTGGGATTTAATCTGGAAATTTATTTTGTTATTTTCATATCCTGACAACTTATATAGAATGGAAGCAATCGCCGCTACACCTCCACCGAACGTCTGTATGGTCCATGTGAAAGTGCACGAATAGGTATCAATCATTTCTCCTGCGGCTTGATTGCAAAGGTAGTTAAAAGTGTGTAATGTCACTGCATAATTGCCTCATGCTACTTAATCTCTCTGCATAATGTCCCTGCAATATTAATTCTTTGAGTACAGATACATATACAACTTACATTGAGCAAACTGTGACATGTCCAATTATATTTGCAATGAGTTTCCTTCTTGTGGTTAGAGACCGAATGGAGGTACGTACTGAGTCCCATGAGAAGGTTAGATTTTCAGCAAATGCTTGTCAAATTACATGCCTGAATTATGCCCCCTGAGAAAGTTAATTTTTCAGCAAATGCTTGTTGAATTACATGCCTGAATGAACTGAGGAGCTTAAATTTTTCATTAGGAAGCTATCAAGAACAGTGACTGAAAATACTGAATTTCTATTAAAATGTGACGATTATCAAGATTGTTTCGTGGCATACATCACATTATGTGTGTGCTTAATTACACTGTACTTTACAACAGTTGATGAACACACGTACATGCTGCTCGATCAGTTGTGTGTCACAGGCTGCACAGCCGACATCAACTGAAAGAAGCTTATTCTTGGAACATGCAAGTATCACAATGGGAAAATTGGGAAGCAACAGGCAAGTTGTTCTAATGTATACAAGTGATCGTGTCAACAGCAGGCATGAAGGGAAGATTTGGGAAATATGATGACTTGATGAGGTGCTTGATCCTGGATAGCCCTGTGTGCCATGGATCATTGGAAGCCGTTTTGCTGGTGAGCTCACACTAAGGCATAGATAGCTAGATGTGCGTTGTGACTTGTGAGACAAAGGCAATTAAAGGTATTATGGCATCACTTCTAACAATTTTGAGCTACAATTATTTGATTGCAAATATTGTTTGTGTGGAAAGTTGCTGAGAACAAATGTAATTATTTTAATGTTTGTAAATTAGTTGTTGATTTTGTGAAGTTTTCAGTGAGCTTTGGAATGATTATGAGATAACTCCATTTCTGAACTTGTCTAAACTTTGGTTGTGACCTTATCTTTTTCTTTTTTGCAGTCGCAACAAATTAATGGAATAAATCTATACTTTTTGAGCATATTCTTTTATTAAAACATATATTGGCCTCGTGTATTGTATTCTGAATTGTTTATATTTAACTAATTTTTATCAATATTTATTGTGCTCACATAATATCATATTATTGTACTTTGCGTGAACTTTATTTCATGTACGATATTAATTGAATTAAAGCTCCAATGCACATATCATATAAAAATATTTTCTTTTGCTAACATGAAATTTTAGAAGTTATTAAAGAAACATTGAATTGCACCGTAGTGTTTAGCACGTGCATATTACTGGTTACTAAAAAGTGAACGAACTTAAAAACCGACTCAAATGCGGATATGTATTTCTAAAAGAGAATGGACTTAAAAACCGATTCATACACGGATGACGTATTAATATACCGGCAAAAACATCTTTAATTTTTATAATAGTAGAGATAGAGATAGAGATAGAGAAGTGCCGAAGTAATCTGGGTATCGAAATTCCTGAAATATCGGTAATCACCGAGTCGGACGTGGATCCGACTGGCCTTTGTTCGGCGGCCACTGTGCGGGACGGGATCGTCTCCAACTCCTATTAATCAACGCCAACAACTGCTATTGCACTTCGTCGAAGGCTCTGATATTAATCTCTCTATAAACCCTAGCAGTTCAAGCAAAAACGGAAGCAAGAAAAAGAGAAAAGAAAGAGAACACCGGTGATAGCTAGCTAGCTCCCTCGATTGTCACGCGACACAGCTGGGATCGAGGATGTCGTGCACGTACGCATACCGCTTCAAGTTTGTCACCATCGGCGACGCAGGTCAGCTTCGCTCGATCCGTGTCGATCGATCAACTCGCCACCGGCGGGGGCGCATCTCCACACTCAATCGATTGGTTATCGATCGGTAGCTCATACTGGAAGACGCGTGTTGTGTTGGTTCGTTTGGTTGCAGGCGTGGGGAAATCGTGCCTGCTGCTGCAGTTCACGGACAAGAGGTTCCGGGAGGTGGAAGATCTCACCACCGGCGTCGAGTACGGCGCGTGCGTCGTCGCCGTCGACGGCAAAAACACTAAGCTCCAGATCTGGGACACGGTCAGTAGTGCGTGCTAGCTAGCCCTCGGTCGATATTCTTCTGCTTGAAATTCTATATATTGTTGTTCGGTTCCTGCGACAGTTTTTGCGCTATTAAAAAGCCCATGATTTGGTGATGTTATACTCTCTCGATCGAAGTGGACATAGTACCAATTTGACCTTTCAATCGTGTAGCTAGTGATGAGTTTTGGCTTATTTAGTCATAACTTATTTCGGTTTGGCGAATTATGCCGATGCTTCTGCCATTCGTAAAAGGTGTACCAGCTCGCTTTTTTCATTTTAAAAACAATCATCCGAAAACTTATTTCCAAATCTAAATATTTTAGCTACAATATTAATTTTCTACCACGCCATGACCTTTTATTATCGTAGTCAATTAGAAGGCTTAGATTTAAAAATAAGCTTTATTATTATTATTTTTTAAAATCCCGCTTGCAAATTTATGTGGCTGCTACAGTGCATCTTTAGCACTCAATTCCTAAAGTAATATATTTACCCATAAATAAATATTAATCCACCAAATTGTATTCCCAATGTACATCAATCTAAAATATCATGTCTCTTAATTTGAGCGTGTGCTTGGGGTGAATTTGTGGATATAGTATGATGTGTGAGTAGTGGTGCGTGCGCGTGTCTACTTTATAATTATGAAAAAAATATCACAATATCACAAAGATATATATGCTAATGGCTTGGTTGAACTGTTGAGGTAGCTACCTTGTTTTCTCGTGCCACACCGTGGCAATATATATGATTAATGGCCTGATCGGTATAACGTGCATGATTTCTACCCGATTGTGTTTTTTATTTACAAATTTACATGTTAAATCTTGGTATTGCATGATCAACAAACCTGTGGGTGGAGACCTAACTAAGATCTGGAATGCAATTATATGCTTGGAATTGCCTCCTCTCCTTCTCATACTTTTGATCTGTTGATTTTACAGGCTGGCCAAGAAGCATTCAGATGCATAACTAGATCATACTACAGAGGAAATGCTGCTTGCCTTTTGGTTTACGATATCACCAGGTATTTATAAGATGGTTTGTCAATGTACCTGTTGTGGTGTTTTATTAATTATTACTTCTTGCGTAGATTAGTTCTTATGCTTGACTGACCAAATCAGGAGGGAGACTTTTTTTAATCATCTTGCAAGCTGGTTAGAAGATGCAACGCAGCATGCGAGTGCCCGCATGACAATAATTCTGATCGGAAACAAATGCGACTTATCTCATAGACGTGTTGTAAGCTATCAAGAAGGTGAACAGTTCGCCAAGGAGCATGGTCTCCTCTTTATGGAGGCATCAGCAAAAACAGCTCACAATGTTGAGAAGGTGATGCTTTATCCTTATTGTCTTAATTTGGGTGCAATTGCCCGACTTGTATATCTTAAAGCCACGCTCTTTCTTTTTTTTTGTTGTTGTCTAGGCATTCATCCTAGCTGCTAGAACTGTACACAAGAAAATCGAAGATGGAGTTATTAATTTATTAGACGAGGTTAGTTTTCAATTGCTTGCATTTTTCTATATTGAGGAATTCAATGTTTTAGTATGCACTTTAGAACCGGCATCTATAGTTGCTTAAAAGTGTCGGTTTTATGTGTTTTCAGTCCACGGAGGAGGAAAAGCACTATAGCCGTTGGTTTTAGCTGTTCCGGCACCTATAGTGCCGATCGGTTTTATTTAGTGTGATAGTAATCGACGAATGTGATCTTTACAAAATGCTACCGTACAAATGTTTTACTCTCCTTTTTAGCATCATAACTATCCTCGTTAAGTACATTCCGTTAAGCCCTATGGATATGCTGTACTTTTTGCATGGCCATAATGGAGTACACTTAACAGAAGGCTACTGATGTTGGTAATAAAAACAAGAAAAACGCTTGTGTGATGAAATTTCGTAAAACTTACAGTAGTTAATAAGTACCTATAATAACTATTTTTAAAACGTACCACTTGTCAATGGAAAAATATAGGATGTTTTGAAATCTTTTCATGTAAGCATTACCTTAAAATTCTAGCACACAGAATTGTTTTCTTATTCAATAACGGAAATGAGTCCAGCTTCTGTATAAAAAAAATCAATTTCGTTTTGGTCTAAATGGTGCAGAACTGTGGTGTCAAATCGGGCAATGCCCCCGTGGCATCGCGACGTGATGCTAGCTTCTCCTCTCGTGATGGTCGTTGCTGCAGCTAAGTTTGCCGTGACAAGTCGAAAACAATCTTGCAATATGTACGTGTTTTTTCTGAAGATAATGACAGAGAGTAATGCCTACATGCATGGGTCGTATTATAGATATAACATCGTAGAAAGTAGCTCAAAGGCATAGAAGCATGTGTTTGATTCAAAGGATGAGATGAATCTGGTTAGTTATGTAATTAAAGTGTGAGATATTTGATTTTGATATTTGGAGATATATATTCGGTGAAGTGGTTTTGCAGATGTATGATTTTCAGACAGTGAACAGAGTTTTGTCAGTTTTGGTCTGGTCAGACATAACAGGTTCTGTTAGTTAGACCAACGGTCCGACAGTCTGACCGGTTGACACTGTGTCGGTTTCGTTTTTTTATACTACTAATCAATTCATGTTTATGGTTTAATTCTACACTAGTACAGATCCTTCCATCTGTGACCCTTCCATCTGTGACGGCCCATAACAAGACTGGAATTTGCGGGCCGTCACAAGGAAGTAATTTCAATTGGACCGAAGTTTCGCCCGATTGAGATATGGTCGCATAGCCATGGTATATCGGCATAAAACTAAAGCCCGTCACGGATGACACTTATCTGTGACGGGCTATAGTTGAGGCCCGATTGAGATGAGGGTTCCATATCTCAATCGGGCCCTAAAAGAAGCCCGTCATAGATGAGGGTCATCTGTGATGGGCTCCAACTAGAGGCCCGATTGAGATAAGTTTATTGCCCGTCACAGATGACACTCTTTTTTGACGGCCTTTTATTAAGGCCCGATAGAGATTACTTGTATGCCCGTCACGGTTGATTGTTTTAGGGCCGTTACAGATATTTGTTGCACAGTATAAATACCCCCCACCACCTAGTGTAACTGTATCCCACTGTTCACTATTTTGGTGGGAGGCTGTAGGGGGCGATTTTTTGTCCTTTTTCCAAGGAAAACAGAAATTAAATTCCCAAAAGTGATCAAAATGGATCAATCAAGTGAGTAATATAAATCATTAATTGAGCAATTTCATCACGTCTTACTTTTGCAATACTGATCTTATAATATGTGCCTCTAATTTGTTTTTTTTTTAGCAATTGATCGAAGTTGAATGTATGCCAAAAATTTGAAACGTCATTCTACGGAGTACCGAAAGGGCGTAATAAATTTTATGAACGCTGCGAAGGAGGATCGGATAAGAAGAAACAGTGATTACATGTGTTGTCCATGTGCAGATTGCAAGAACGAGAATATGTTTGATAGCGGAGAGGACGTACACGGTCATCTGATACAACGAGGATTCATGGAGGGCTATACATGTTGGGTGAAGCATGGAGAGCAAGAATCAGGAAGTGGAGCAGCAGCAGACAGAAGTGGTGCGCATAATCAGGAAGATGAAAATGAGCATGACATGTTTATACCTTCTCCATTGGGCGGTGAAATGGTTGATGTGGATCACGATCTGCTGCAAGACATGTTACGTGACGTTGAGGACCCAGCCCAGAATGAGAGAGATGGAATGAAATTCAGCAGGTTGGTAAGTGATTCCGAGACGCCTTTGTACGCTGGATGCAAAGCAAAACACACTAAGTTGTCAGTTACCTTGGACCTAATGAAGCTGAAGGCAAGTAGTGGATGGACAGACAAGAGTTTCACAGATCTTTTAGGAATTTTGAAGGCTATGCTTCCTGTTGAGAACACATTGCCCGAGACGACATACGAAGCAAAGTAGGTTCTGTGTCCACTGGGGTTAGAGGTCCGTAGAATTCACGCTTGTCCCAACGACTGCATATTGTACCACAAGCAATATGCGGACTTGGATGCTTGTTCTGTCTACAAGGCTTCTCGATACAAGCGAAAGAAAAGTGCTGACGAAGGAAATAAGTCAAAGAGGGGTGGTCCGGCAAAGGTTGTGTGGTATCTACCTATCATTGATCGTTTCAAGAGAATCTTTGCCAACTCGAAGGAAGCGAAGTTAGTACGTTGGCACGCCACGGAAAGAAGGAATGATGGTATGCTTAGACACCCAGCGGATTCGATTGAATGGAGGAATATAGATCGAAAACACAAAGACTTTGCTGCCGACCCTAGAAACATGAGGATATGTCTTTGTACGGTTGGCATGAATCCTTTCGGTGACATGAGTAGTACTCACAGCACTTGGCCAGTTCTTATTGCGAACTATAACCTCCCGCCATGGTTATGCTTTAAACGGAAATATATTATGTTGTGCTTGTTAATCCAAGGTCCAAGGCAACCCGGCAATGATATCGATATATTCCTGGAGCCTCTTATCGACGATCTGGAGATTCTTTGGAAAGAAGGTGTGGAAACTTGGGATGCATATAGTCAGGAGAACTTCAAGCTAAGAGTTCTATTGTTCTGCACCATTAATGACTACCCTGCACTCGGTAATCTTTCCGGACAAACTATAAAAGGAAAGAAGGCATGCTCCGATTGCAAGGAACATACACGAAGCCGGTGGCTGAAGAAATCATGAAAGATGGTATACATGGGTCACCGGAGGTGGCTCCCGCTACGTCACACATTTAGAAGAAAGAAGAAAATTTTTAATGGTAAGAGAGAACTTCAGCCTGCTCCCAAAGATTTGTCCGGAGATGAGATCCACAATATGGTCAAGGACATAAGCAATGAGTTTGGGAAGAAAAGAAAACGTAGCAAGACAAAGGAGAAGGGTATGTGGAAGAAAAAATCCATATTTTGGCGGCTACCTTACTGGAAAGATCTTGATGTCCGTCATTGCATTGATCTCATGCATGTAGAAAAGAATGTGTGTGAGAGTTTGGTTGGCCTGATGTTGAATATTCCCGGGAAGACAAAGGACGGGTTGAACGCGCGCCTTGATCTACAGGACATGAATATTCGCAGCGAACTCCAGCCCATACGAGATGCAGAGACAAGTAAAGTGTACGTCCCTCCAGCCTGCCACACACTGTCGAAGGATGAGAAGATCGCAATGTTATCATGCTTGAAGGATATTAAAGTTCCATCGGGCTATTCAGCGAGGATAAGTAAGTATGTTAAATTGGACGATCTAAAACTTGTTGGAATGAAGTCTCACGATTGCCACGTGCTAATCACACAAATCTTGCCAGTTGCTATCAGAGGCATTCTACCACCGAAAGTGCGTCACACGATCCAACGTCTGTGCGCCTTCTTCAATGCAATTGGACAGAAGGTTATAGATCCAGAAGATCTAGATGGGCTGCAGACCGATATTGTGAATACCCTCTGTCACCTGGAGATGTTTTTCCCACTGTCTTTCTTTGATATAATGGTTCATCTCCCTGTTCATCTGGTGAAGCAAACAAAACTATGTGGCCCGGCTTTTCTAAGGGAAATGTGGCCGTTTGAAAGGTACATGGGAGTTCTGAAGTTGTACGTTCGTAACAGAGCTAAACCCGAGGGGAGCATCATTGAAGGTTACACGACCGAGGAGGCTATTGAGTTCTGTGTCAATTAAATGTCCGATGCCGATCCTATCGGAGTTCCAGCGTCTCGTCACGAGGGAAGGTTGTCAGGTGTTGGCACAATCGGAAGGAAAAGAATTAGGCCCGATCAAGCGTCGTACGCGCAGGCTCATTACGCTGTGCTCCAACATATGGCAGAAGTTGGCCCATACTTTAAGGAGCACTTAGCGAAAATCTGAGATGAGAACTTGGGGCGATCTGATGCATGGATTAACAGAGAACATAATTCTCGGTTCAACGAATGGTTCAAGAATCGTGTGACAATGTCCATGGATGTCCCAAATGAGACAGTACAGTTGTTGGGGATGGGACCGTCTTGGACCATAGACACATGGCAAGGATACGATATAAATGGATACACATTTTACACCGTCAAACAAGATGACAAAAGCACAGTGCAAAACAGCGACGTCCGTATAGATGCATTCCAGGATCAAGTTGGGTCAAACACATACTACGGCCGCATTGAGGAGATATGGGAGCTAAACTACGTCAAGTTCAAGGTTCCTTTGTTCCGCTGCCGTTGGGTGAATCTACGCACTGGTGTCAAAGCCGACAAGGAAGGTTTCACTTTAGTAGATCTATATAAGGTGGGATACGCCGATGAACCATTTGTACTTGCGAAACAGGTCGAGCAGATATTCTACATAAAAGACCCTTCAAACAAGAAGATGCACATCGTGAGGGATGGAAAGCGCCGAATTGTAGGAGTTGACAACGTCGTCGATGAAGAAGAATACAACCATAATCTTCATGTAAGACCTCACATTGACCTTGACGATGATCCCCAAGAGCCTGTGGCATATGCTCGTTCAGATCATACCGAA